TGTTACATTGATGAAAGGTTATCAAGCTGAACTAGGTTTTATATAATGTGCAGAACAAGTTGAATAATCACACATACAAAATCACATGCCTTGGACTCAGAAGACAATCTAGAAGCATTGTTAATATGTGTATTAAACTTTGCTTATATAGGGTAAGTAAATATATTGAAGAGTAGAAAGTTTAATGCTGTATTTTGTTAAATCAAAGCAAAAGAAAGTTTCTTTCTCAACCTATTTCCCTTTATCATAATAGATTTAGTTTAAAAGTAATACATTTATATTTCTGAAGCTGAGAAAGTATTCAAAACTAAGGACTATAAACTATATAGTACAGAATATGCATTTTAATAAATCCTTACATCATGGCATTTTCAAAATCTGGAGTTCAGTTTACATGTCTTTGTAAGAAAAAGATGATCCACTTACAGATATGTATTGATACTATATATCTGAAAGTTAATGTTTTTTAAAACTGTTTACATGGACCTCAATTTAGAAAACAACTTATGGGAGTGGTCATCACTCTCAGAAACTGAAACTGTATGTGTATGTTAATTTTTATGAAAGATTTTAATAGTTTTTCCCAGAGGTAAGTTCCTGACATTTAAGTTAACATTGAAAATCAGTTGTTTAACCTAAAACACAGAAAATAAGTTGTTGTTTTTTTATCCATGAGCCAAAACGCCAAGTATCATTACAATATCTTCTCTGTAAAGCTTAATTAGTGGAAATAATTATGCATGCATGTCTTTTTGATACTTTCTGAGTTTACACAAAAAACTAGAGCTTAATGCTAAGTTTTAGGATATATAAAAACAAAGAAATTAAATTCAAAATAAATTTTGTCAAATATTATGTAATGACAATGACTTATAAAACATTGAGAGTGGATCCTGCTTCCCCATGATTTAAACTGATAGTCACAAAATGGACTCTTTTCATTAGTTTAATATAATGCAGTAAGCATTGGCATAATTCTCATGGTAGACACATGTGAAATGTCCCCTGCACTTTGTTCAAGAGTACAATCTCTTTTTCTTTTCTTTTTTTTGACAAAATGCCCTCATACATATCCCTGATACAGACATTGTCCCCTTTCCCTCCACTTTTGAAACCAAAGCTATACCACTGGCAGATAAGGAATGTTTTTAATCCAGTTTCATTTACTAAGTACATGTAGTATTAATGAAATAATAGAACATTATTAAGGCTATTACGTATTGTAGTTACTTCATGTAAATTATTTTTATATCAGTTACTGGAAGGGACACAAATTTAACTGCAATCCTGTTTTCTTAATACTTGCTGTGCTAGATAATTCATATCTGCTCACATTGGGTGCATTATCAGTCTCATAGATGTAAATGTTTAATTCTAGTGTTAATATCAATAAGCTTGAATTCATGCCAAACTTGAAAACCAGAACAAAATAGCATTTTTAAAGAATTTTTTATAAGTTATTAAAAATTAATTTTATCTACATTTTTAGGGTTTTATTCATTTAGAAACACAAAATTTATTTGATAATTAGTAAATTTCAAAGTGTTATTCTAGTAATAACTTATACACATATTAAATAAGAACTTCTGTGTAGGTTTATAAACTTGGTGCTTTTCAATTTTTTGTTAAATATTTTTGCTCTAACAGAAATCTAAACGATCCAAGACACTTCTAGAAATTCACCAGAAGAAGATGAAAAAAAAGAAAAAGGTAATTGAAATTGTTTTTTCTTTTTAGTCATTTTAGAAGATAATTATTTGTTCATATTTTTTGTGGCTTCTTATACAGAATGTTTATTCATTACAAGATGAAAATATTAGTAGTATGCCATTTATCATTTGAGAATATGTTTGATACAAATTTTTAAGTTCTCAAATTACTGAATATGTAATATTAAAGCAGAAGTTCTAAAATATCCGTAAACAAATTAACAAAATTGTGTAAGAACTATTGGTTATGAAAGAATTTCTATTAATACCTTTTCTTAAGAGTGAGTATATAAAATGTGTTTCTTTGTATTATTCTTATTAATATAAAAAAATAAATTAATTGCATCTAATTAAACTTGTCCCAAAAAAAGGTACAATATCTTTCTTCCAGAAAAAAGACAAGCGTGAAGAGAGAAAACCATTTGACAGAGATACAGACCTGCAAGTGAATTGCATAGATGCTTCAAAAACCAAGGGAATTATTGACAAGGCTCGTTTTCTAAACAGTCGATTTGCACCTGGGGCTAGCCACTTTTTATAACACAAGAGCAAGTGGGAGTTTGCAGTTTTCTTTTGTGTGTTAAAAGAAGAATGTAGAAGCCTTCTTTGTGCTTATTTTAACATGTAAAGATGTCACACAATTCATGAAGAAGAGGAGTTCACATGCAAATCTAGCTTCTAGTTACTACAGGAAGAAGCTTCTCATTGTAGAAATAAATAAAAATATGCTTTCAAGTTAATCATCATCATAGAGCATCATTGGTTACTTCCCTTTTTTTTGTCATCTTAGACAAAAATATAAGTAAATTTTGTAGATTTCTGTATATGTGTTCCAACTGCTGTTTTAGCAAACCAAAGTAGTTTGCACTCAGAAATTATTTGTAGTGATAGAGTAAAATATCCAGATTCCCTTCTCTGTTTTCAGTTGTGGTGTCACTAATTAGCAATAGGTAAATCAGGATATTTAGTGACCCAATCTTGTAACTTGCTATTGAAATAGTTCTCCTCCATTTAAATAATGTGAGAGAAAAACAGATTCTGAAACCAAGAAATTTAATACAGTTACATAAAAAATGCCTTGTGGTTTGGTGTGTAGTATATTTATGCAAAACCCAGTCATATCTTTTATATTGAATTAAAATTTTTATGAGGAGTAGCCAAGATTACATTTAAAGTATTTGATAATTAAACCTTGTTTTAAAGTACTATTTTATTCAAATTATAAAATTGGAAAATCTTAATCAGTGCCTTTTAATTAGTTTCTATTGATTTCTACTATATCTACTAGAAGTTTAAACACCATAAAATGTATTTTTTTATATAGTGTTTGAAACTAAGAAGAAAATTTTAGGTTTTAACCATAAAAGAGAGCCACAAACTATCTTATCCCAACCCCAAAATCTCAATTTTATAATTAGGAAAGCCAAAAAATTCATCTGCAAAATGAAAGTTCTAGTCACTAGAGGTCACCACTCGACTAGCAGTCATGTCAGAAATTTGTCTTACCTTGCACTATTTTTTTTTCTGAGAAAGTGAGCTATGCCCACCTGACACCTATGGAGGTGTTGGAAAAACAGATGATTATTATGGCAACCAATATGATGGTGTATAGAACAACAAAACAGCAATATATCAGGAAATATTTTCGATATAAGTTTAATAAAGATATATATATATATGTTTTTCCTTATGCTCTTCTCACTGGTAGACACAAAGAGATTGCTCCCAGTCTGATAACAGTTAATACCCTACTTAGATGCAACATAGTTGCTCAATTTTCGAAAATAGGGAAAACCAAAGTAGCGTAATTTCTGTAGGCAGGCCATGAACTACCGAATCTTGACACCTCATCAGCACCTGCAGGAATCGATCAGATGTGTTGCAGCATGCTATGGACATGTAGGAGCAGAAACAATGGCAGATGTACGCTTCAAAGTGTGGAAAGACAAAACAACAATGGCCAATGTTGCCTTCAATCCAAAACTCATGCCACTACCCGTAACTACGGAGACATTTAAACTAAATGCCACGAAAGCAAACTTACGGGTTGCCATATGTAAAAACGTCACGAAGCCAAACATGGAATATGTCAAGTATGTATGGAAGTAAGACAACACAAAGCAAAGGCCAACAGCCCGTGATGTTGTCCTAATTATACCTTATCAAGTAGTGATGAATACAGGACACAAAAATGAAAGCCCTGCAACCAATGTTGTTGCCCTAAATCATATCACCCGTACAAGGTAATGTCTTGAAACTGATAAAGTGATGCTTTGATCATCGAAGTGATCCTGTGTGTCATCCACTTTGCCATGCACAATATCCTGCTAGTAGGAATGAGCGTAATAAAACTGAGCAATCAGAATCCAATGAAGATGGAACTTACATGTCTATAATAAGAACTTTTACTGAAGAACAAGAATGTAGTGTCATCAATAGAATGGTGATTATATTTGAATAGTAAAAGTTAGTTGTTTGAGTTTTGAGCAATAAGGACATGTCGGGCTGTCAAATACGAACAGCTACTTATCTTTCTAAGTACCATGGTACTGAAGTAATCTTTACCCTTGACTCTGATAAGGTAAAACTCATTTTACAAGCATAAAATACCATGGTTCAAGAGTTACACATTGAGAGAGAGAAACGTGTTTCCTTTTACAAACTGGATATAGTACGCGAGATTTAGGAGAAACTCTGGTATCGAAATAAGAGTTTCGTACGGTGCTGGTATATGTACTTAATGTTATCAAACTTTGTATAATTAAGATAGATGTTGGAACATTATCAACTTACATTAATTATTCCGTTAGTTTATTTGAATGCCACTCTGCAAAAGAAGGGAGAAAGCTAGTCTCTTAATTTTGAACAGATTTAGCCAGTAAGGAGTCCAGCTATTTAAAGTACATTTTATGAAGTGGCTTTGACTTATCCCCCACCCCCAAGATCAAATCCAGTTACGTGACAATGGATTATATATATTTTGTATGTGGACAAGTAAATATAGTTTATATATTTATTGTAGTTTCCGAGACGTGTTCACTAATAATGGTCAAAAAATTATCATTGTATTGTAATGGTTACCCTATAGTTATTATTTCGTTGGTTGGTTATTTGAAAGTTAATGTAGACAACTATATCGTAAAACAACAATTGAAACACCTAAACTACAACCAAGTAGAAAAAATATATTAGACGCTTTTACAAACTTTTGGAAGAATTACGGATTTTTGTTTTTGACCTTGATCTTGGATAATTAAGATCACAGGACCATTGAGTAGTGTGTGTGTGTGTGTGGTAAGGTATATATATTTAGACATTTATCCAATTCATATTGAAAATATTTCGTGATATATTGTCGTTTTACAGATTTTCGATTGGATTTAGATCTGGGCTTTGGCTTGGCCAATCAAGGACTTTAATGTTGTTTCTCCGAAACCATTCTTGGGTTGCCTTTATCTGTGTTTGGGATCATTATCCTGTTGTAATGTAAACCTTCTACCGAGTGTTAGTTTTTCAGCTGACTCCTCCAAGTTTACCTCCAACATCTGTGTATATTTTGCACTGTCAATGATCCCTTGAATACGTACAAGTTCTCCAGTGCCAGCAGCAGAAAAAGAACCCCACAGCATTATGGACCCATCACCATGCTTGACAGTTGGGACTGTATTTGCTGGGTCGTGAGCAGTGTTTGGTTTCCGCCATACTTACTGTCTGTCATTTAACCCAAAAAGTTCTATTTTGGTCTCATCTAACCATAGAACTTTCTGCCACATTGTCGTAAGGTTATTAAAATGTTTCCGGGCATAGTCCATTCATGATCTAAGATGCATCTTCGTCAGTAGTGGTTTCTTTCTTGCCACCCTACCATACAATCCTTTTTTGTGTAAGGTACGTGATATTGTTGAGGAGTGTACAGTAACTCCAGTTGTCACTGTTAGCTTTATAGTCGCTTCTCTGACGATTTTTCTGTTTGTTCGACTTTCTTAGAACGACCTGATTTTGGCAAGGTTGAGGTAGTGTGACACACTTTCCATTTCTTCTTCTTTACAGTACTTAATGGGGAATTGAGAACCTTTGAAATGGAATCGTGCTTCTGAACAATCTTCTCCCTTAGGTCTGTAGAGAGTTCTTTTCTCATCATTCTCAATATGTAACAGTAAACCAAATTTTAACTTTCAAAATACTCTGCTTAAATCAATACTGATGGCCTAAAGTATTTTTTCACATGGCTCTATAATATACTTTGGTATCTGATAGAGTTGTACAGAGGCACTTGTTTTTACTTTAGTTGGGTAGTGACGTAAAGTTAAATCAACCATGGTAAAAGCTGAGGGGGTGAAAACTTTTGCAACATGTGTTTTCAAGATTATTTTGTGCTATATCACTAAATTGGATAACAACACACCTTTCGTTCTTTGTAATATTTAGAAACTGGTTTGAGATTAATATAATAAATATTTTTCGCCATTTGAGTTATGTCTTTCACAAGAAAATACATACAATTTATTACCAGCACGGGGGGGGGGTGAAGACTTTTGCAAGGCACTGTACGTATTCTTGAAATGGTATCTACAGACCATGTAAATCAATTTGCCAAGTTTATGATTCCGTTATTGTCTTCTTTATGCATAGCTACACAATGGATTTTCTACGCATTGTCCAACGCGGTGGATCGAACCCCGGATTTAAGCGTCGTAAGTCTGTAAACTTACCGCTAACCCACCAGGAGACAATTGTGATTATTTACGTTAATGATAAAATAGGATCAATACCGATTAAATAGTAAGTGTACAGACAGCATAGAAAATATTTTTTTATAAATAGAAAGTTTATTATGAATTTTAAAGTAATACCAAAAGAGACGTCTTATTAAGATAGTGTTACAGAAATTTGTCATTTCTTAGTTTATGCTAGACTAACACATTTACACTGGCCCCATCTTTATGTTGGAGGAACTAGTTCTATACAATTCGACATTTCGTTCTTACGAATTTTGGAAGCATCTCACAAAATTCAATGGTTTAAACACTTCGATATCTTATGTTTTCAACACACGTGTTTTGTTTTTTATGGTATGGTGGAAATCTGAAATGTTAATGATACAGAATATGCAGCATAGAGTGAAAATATATTACCATAGTTGTAAATTTACCCAAGTTTACAAAAAAGTTAGTGTCTTTGCATAATTATTACGTAACATAAACGTATTTTGAAACCTGTCATGATTATTGTTTATTGACCATATTTTACTCACGTGCTAAGTTTGGTATGAATAAACAAATAGTCGGAGGTAGAAACATGTACATTTGTCAAACAATTTTGTATTATATACAGTGTCCCAACTGCTACTATTTCTGTCGTATCTCAGACGATCTGTTTGTTTGTTGTGAATGTCGCACAAAAGCTACACGAGGGCTATCTGCGCTAGCCATCCCTAATTTAGAAGTGAAAGACTAGAGGGAAGGCAGCTAGTCATCACTATCCACCGCCAACTCTTGGGCTACTCTATTACCAACTAATAGTGGGATTGACTGTATCATTATAACGCCTCCATGGTTGAAAGAGCGAGCAAGTTTGGTGGGACGAGGATTCGAACACGCGGCCCTCAGATTGCGAGTCAAGCGCCCTAATTACCTGGTCATGCGGAGCCCAGCCGATCTGAGGAGCCC